CTTCCACATCATGGCAGAGGCTCTGTGGAGACACAACTCTGGGTCAGGGGGATCTCAGCCAAGGCACCGTAGCCTGGACAGCTGTGGGGGCCCAGATGACAGAGCCACAGTGCCTTGAGGGGCAGGGAGGGCACGTGGCAGCAGGATCAGGGGCTGACAGGCCAGGGTTGGGAAATAAAGGAGCCAGAGCGTCTTGGAACTTTCCATTTCTCTGCCACACCACATGGGACAGGCTCTACAGGGTGATGGATTCTAAGGGCTGGTGATGGCAGAGCCTCCCAGGCAGCCGGTCCCTGTACCTGTCACACTCTGGGGCACAGCGCAGCAGACTCATCACCACGTCACGTGGGTTTGCCTCGGCGAGCCTGTGCATTTGTTTTTGCAGAGTGACGTTGAACATGAGGTCGTGGTGGATGTTCCAAACGATGGCCGGCACCTGGAGAGGCAGTGGGGAAAGTTGGAGAGCTACCACACTAAGCAGGTTGCCCAGCTTCCCTCAAGTGAAGGCCTTCCCTTCCCACCACACTCTGCTAACCTCAAAACCTTAGGGGGCCACCAGATCCTGCTTCAGAGGCCACAACAATACTGGGGGGCTTAAACTTACGTGCTGCAAATTGAAAACACCATCTCCCTCCAGAAAGGGCAGGTTGGGAGCCTCAGTCACACTCTCTGCGGGCTTGGTGTCAGCATTTCCCATGTCTTCAGTCATGGTGGCAGCCTCTGCCTTGAGATCACTTGTTGTTTCAGTCAAATAAGTCAAGGCAGTCCCAGGGTTTGCTGTGCCATCCACCGGTGCCTCAGCAGAGCTTGATGTGCCATCAGTTGGCATCAGTGCCACGAGGTCCATGTCAGAGCCTGTTTTGTCATCAGCAAATACGGTGTCAAGCTCTGCTGGGCTGTCCATTGGTGCCAGGTCAGAGTGTGAGGTACCATCAATAGGCACCAAGTCATCCTTGGCCATGACATCAGTGGCTGTGGTGTCAGAGCCTGTTGTGTCACCAGTCCAAATGATGTCAAGCTCTGCTGTGCTGTCCATCAGTCTCATATCAGAGAGGGAGGTGCCATCCATAGGCACCATGTCAGCCCTGGCCATGACATGACTCTCGGCAGTGCCACAGCTTGTTGTATCACCGGCCAATGTGGTGTCAGGCTCTGCTGTGCCGTCCATCCGTGCCACGTCCGAGTAAGAGGTGCCTTCAAGAGGCACCGTGTCAGCCTTGGCCATGACATCAGTCGCTGCGGTGTCACAGCTGGTTCTCTCATCAGCCAAAGCGGTGTCAAGCTCTGCTCTGGAACGAGTCAGTTCCGTTTCAGCCTTGGCAGGGACATCGGCCAGTGGAGTGTCAGGGTTGGCCGTGTCCTCGGTCACAGCGGTGTCAGAGGTTGCCGTCAGGTCAATGGGCGCGGTGCTGCCTTCAGGCCTCTCCTTGAGCTCAGCTGGCCTGGTGTCAGGCTCTGCCATGAGCTCAGCTGGGGTGGTCCTGGGTGTTCTGCACCGAATGCCCATGATTTTCAGCAGCCTCTGCAGCAGAAGAAAGGGCAGGGAAGAGAGGAAAGTCGGACAGAGCGCTCCACCAGCGCTGCCAGGCTGAGCAGGGACAGCAGGCCCAGCCCAGGCGGACATGGCTGCAGGTACCTGAACTGCTCTGCGGAAGCGGCCACGGGGACGGTCCTGCTGCTCTGTCCGCTCCGGGCCTGGCTCTGTCCAAGAGCGAGTGCAGTCAGAGCTGAGGGGCTGCAGGACAGGCCAGGGAACACAGCCCAGCCCTGCACTCCACAGGCAGGGCCGGCCCTGGGATGCCCAGTGGATGGAGCAGGGATGTGGGGGGATCAGCCCTGGCCCCTCTTCTCCCTTTCCTTTCCTTGGGCATGTCCACAGGAGACAGGAAGGGGCCGAGTTGGCTGCAGCCACCAGCCCTGTGGCCCAGCTCCAGCACTCACCCTGCTGCAGGGGCTCCTCAGGTTGCTGTGCTGGGGCAACCCCAGGGCCTCTCCTGGTCTTCTTCCTCCTCAGCAGCCTGAAGAGGCTGAAGCGTCTCCCTGCCATCCCACACTCTGGCCTCAAGGGAACTCGCACGAGAGACGCCTTGGAAAAGACCCTGGAAGACAAATCTCACCAAACGGCCTCAAGGGCACCTGCCACAGGGACTGGAGACACCTGGGATAAACTCCACGTGTCCAAGTCCCGTGGGCTGGCCTTGAGGGCACCTTCCACAGGGACTGCAGGTGACCAAGTCCCGTGGGCTGGCCTCAAGGGCACCTTCCACAGGCACTGGTGATGCCCAGAAAAGCTCCGGGTCACCAAGGCCTG